CCTGGTCCTGGTCCTGGTCCTGGTCCTGGTCCTGGTCCTGGTCTGATCTGGACTCATGTGGTCCTGGTTCTAAACTGAACAGGGTAGGTACCACCAGGTCCCGGTCCTGGTCCTGGTCCTGGTGCTGGTCCTGGTCCCGGTCCTGGTCCTGGTCCTGGTCCTGGTCCTTAACTGAACTGGACTCATGTGGTCCTGGTCCTGGTCCTGGTCCTGACCTGGTCCTGGACTCATGTGGTCCTGGTCCTGGTTCGGAACTGAACAGGGTAGGCTGGATCCCATGTAGGGACAGTTTAAACTCTGTTGTGGACCCATTTGGTTCTCAGTCCTAATCTGGACTAGACTGATGTGGTCCTGGTCCTGGTTCCTGACCTGGTCCCTATCATGCAGGAATTTTGAACATTTCTGAAGGAATTTGAACATTTCTTCACGAATCTGCAGAATTTAAACATTTTCTGCAGTAGTTTTTGACCATGTCTGCTAGAATTTAAAAATATCTTCAGGAATTTGAATTTTTCTTCAGGAATTTTTTTTTAACATTTCTGAAGGAATTTTTTAACCATGAACATATCTGAGGGGATTTTTCTGAAAATTTGTTCTAGAATTCTGATAATTTCTTCAGGATTCTGATCATTCCTCAGCCCCCTGTGGCTCAGGCTTATTCCCGGTTTATTCCCGTTTTATTCCCGGTTTATTCCCGGCTGGACCCATTTGGTTCTCAGTCCTGCTCTGAACTGGACTGACCTGGCCCTGGTTCTGGTCCTGGTTCCTGACCTCGTCTCTGACCTGGTTCTGGTTCTGAAAGAATTCATTTTTAGATTCTGTTAAAGTTCATGTTGATCCTGTTCACAACACTTTATTATGACACTATACGATCACGTCAACAGGAAGCTGGCATGTTTACGTTAGAGTTAAATGGCCAATTACAATTCGGTGCTGCGAAGACCAGCTTTTGCATTGTAGGGGGCGGAGCTTAGCCCAAGAAGATAAATTTACCTGAGTGAGGTGTATTCGGTGCTCTTTGGTGGGATCGCGTCATTGAGACAACATTCTCCAGAGAGTCCAGCGCTGTGATACTTTACTTGTGAACGGAATAAATTCCATTCATTGTTAAAGACCTCTTCAGTTCATTTTCCAAGTTTCCATAAGGACCGGGAGGAATTAAGATGGAATCAGCATATACCTTAACACAGTATTTTTCAACCACTAGTGAGCCGTTAGTGATGGTCAGGTGTAGAAAATCATCCTATTTCACCTCATTGGTCTAAAAAGATTTTTTGATAAGGAATTAATTATCTGCAAATAATATTCCATTTCTGAGTGTGTGTGCTGTTCTAGTGACTGGTGGAGTAATCATGTAATAATTCCTTATGACTAGATTTTGTAT